AGTGCTTCTTTTCGTTCCAATTACGATTCAGTTATGACTTTAATTATTTCTTTTTAATCAAATGAACTATATAAAATCCAAATATGTAAATAAAAAAAAATTTAAAGAATTTTTCAAATTATGTCAATAACTGTAAACAAGAGCTTATAGAAAAATGCGAAATATATTGGTACGTAAATTTGATTATAAATCTCGTATATTTACAACAAAATCTCTTGTTTCAAATACAGAGTCTGTAATATCAAACTTCCACAATATACGGATGAATAAAAGTTTGAAGTTTTTCTATGTACAATTTAGAACTTTACAACCGTACATATAATCATACATATCTACTATACTAATCATGGTTTAAATTAAAATATTCACTCGGAATTTGTCAAAAGACCTGTAGTTGTAAGATTAATAAAGTTAATCATTTTATAATTACATTCATATTCAAACTTAATATATACTTTGTAGTCAAAAGTTTTGTCAAAAGTTAACAAATAAAATTAATTGTAATTTAAAATACCACAGAATTATTGTACACAAAATTATTCAAAATTTTAAGCAAAATATTTTTCTAATTTTCATATTCGATAATTTCTAAATTTATTTATATTTCCTATTTTTTATGATATTGTAACTTTTACCATCACTTATAAATAATAAAGCTCTATTAATTTATTCTAACTTAATCAATAATAAATGCAAAAAAAACGTGATTAAAATATATTATCAAATCAAAAAAGACTATTAAATAGAAGCACTTTCAATGACACTTCCATGTCATGAACATTTCTTTATAATGTTCATGACATGCGATATTCACTCAGACTTCACGTCGTAGAAACTTTGAACGAGCAAATATATCGATTTAATATATCCCCTCTCAGAGTAAAAGTGCTTTGTATATAGATTGATATTTTAAGCGTATCGAGTAACCAATCAGAAATGTTCCACGTTTTCCATTATACAGAACTGAATGTGCTCATTGGTTAAGCAATACGCATTAGGAAGAAAACATCAATCCATATAGAAACACTTTTTAATGTCAGACCGATCATTACACTCTTCTGAAGATTAGCGCAGGCGCTTCTTTATATTGCGATACGATGAGTTCTTCATCCATGACAGTACACCGTGTGCTTTCATGTTGTAATCATGTCAAATTCAAAACGTGCATCAGAAGATAATAGATCGAAAAAATATAATGATTACAGTTTACAATTTAGTCGATGGTTTCTCAAGTCAATTGGTGCGTGGCCACAAATAAGTGCACCGAGTCTAAGGTGCAAAATCATGATATTACTGCAAATTTTCATTTGTTCAAGCATAATAGCGGTCACAACGGTACCGTGTTTCTTCTACGTGTTATTTGAAGCAGAGAATATGAAGAAAAAACTGAGTTCTCTAGGACCATTCATCAACAGATTTATGAGCACGATGCATTACTGGGTGTTGCTGAAACGTAGCAATGACATACACAAATTAATACAACATATGGAGAAAGACTGGAGTCTCGTGCAAAAGATCGATCATGAAGTGATGCTGCAACATGCGAAGTTCGGCCGTTTCGTCACTGTAATCTGTGGGATAATGATGCAGGGTGCTTGCCTATTGTTCGGCTTATTGCAATCGATAAAAACTGTTAACATCGTTATCGGCAACGAGACTTTTACATCGCATCCACAGACGTGTCCAATTTATAGTAAAATCATCGATACGAGATTTACCCCTCTGAATGAAATCGCGTTGGTTCTGCAAAACCTGGTAATATTAGTGATAAGTTTCTGTACTGCCGGTGGTTGCAGTCTGGCTGCTGTCTTCGCGATACATGCTTGTGGTCAATTAAACGTGCTGTACGTGTGGCTACATAAATTAGTTGAAAATCAAACGGAAAAAAATGATAAAGCTGAACAAAAACTGGCTGCTATCGTAGAACATCATCTAAGAATATTGAGGTATTTCAAAACAGACACTTGGAAAAAACATACATATTTTTTAATGCTCTATACAAAAGTTATAAATTATCAGCTAAATTAATAATTAATCATTTAAAGACCAGAGGTTTACATTAAAATTAGAATAAATTTATTTTCTTTTTCTTATGGATTACTAAAAAGGAGTTTATTGTCAATTATATTCATGAAAAGATATGTTTAATGTATGGATGACCTATTTATAAAAAAACTGAACTGTTATACACATTTATACGTTTCAGTTTTGTATCACAATTAGAAAGTATTATGCATAAACCAGCTTTTGTGGAATTAACGGGGTGCACTGCAATATTGTGCTTGCTTGGATATTACACTGCAACGGTACGCTATAGATGTAAAAAGATGCAAATTTTATTTTATACAAATAAATGTCACTTATTTATGAAAAGTCGAACATCATTAAAAATGTATTTTAAAAACGATAAATTATACAATAAAATTCATATTTTAAATTTTACATTGTAAAAAAACATTTCGTATTCGTATTAAAAGCAAGCAGTCGTAGACAAGGTATTGTATAATATTGAATTTTTTATATAGTCATGTGTTAATTTAACGTTGCGTGAGATGCATTAATGTTTGAACATTTTGTGTTAAATTGACATTCAACAATTATTAATATTAAAGAAACACAATTCACAATGAAAGGGTGAACATATAACAAACATAATATAGCTTGAAAACGTAAATTCTAAGATAAATAAAATTTACGCATTAATGCAACCTATTATACTTTCAAAATTTGTTTTAAAATTGTATGAAAATGTTTTTTTGTCTTCATCTTTTACATAATATTACTCTCTCATATAATACGTGTTACATTTACACACAAATTTGAGTGGATCATTGGATATCTAAAATACGTTAAATTTAATACAAATTTTCTTCTTCTGCATAGAGTTGGGAAACACTTGATAAGACAAGACTAACATCTTATCTTTTTCCATATTTATCAACAAGTTTCAATATTTTTATATTCTGCTACATCGGAGGCATTGTCACAGAACAGGTAACATCAAGAATTAAATCTATTTTACCGAAATAAAATAATCACCATAAGTAATTGTATATAAATCTACTTCTTCATTAAAATATCATTAAAATTATTATAATATGTGTGCACTTCTTCCCCCACTATATATATATATTCCCCCACTATATATATAGTTCCTAAAAGCCTGGAAATTTATTATTATATATTTTGAAAACATATATTTAATATTTTTTTAATAATATCAATATTTTATGAAAAGAATAAAATGTAACGCTACATATTAATAAAGAAACTTTTATTGTATTATATAATAATATTTAAAATGAAATTGTCTTATTTTTAACAAATTTGAATTTCTATTTTTTTGTTTAGGATATATTAACGTAAAGGAGGCACGACAGTGTTTCATGTCAATGCTTAGCACCGAGACACTACCGTGTCTCCAGATTTAAATTATAAAATAATTACTTATACAAAATTTTATGTTAAATTAGTGCAAACTTGTCGGAGAAATGGCATATATGACTAATTGGTATAATCTACACCACACAACTGCACGTGGTCTCATTCTGATTATTGCCCGATCGAATAACGTAGTTAAGATAACAGCAGGAAAATTATTCCATTTATCCATCGCTACTTTTGGTGATGTAAGTAATGTAGATTCCATTCCTTCGTTTCATTATAATAAAAAATTAGTAAATTGCATCTTCTTTGTACTTTTTGAATTTCAAATAGTGATCATCTTATAAGAATTGCACTTAAAAATATTTATAAATAACATTCAAAATAAAAACACATAAAATGTTATATTCGTGTACATAATTTAAGATATCAAATTTTAATAAATCTATATAATCTAAATTTGTAACTTATGGAATGTGATATATATCATTTTCGCTTTCTACAAAAATAAGTATGTTGTTGTTTCAGGTAATTAAAACATCGGTCGTATATTGCAATTTTTTGCGAACAATGACTATGTAAAAGTGATTATATGAAATATAAATTAGAAAATATACAAATTATGTATTTTTTTATATAGGAAGTATTAGCATATCCTGAAAATAATATTTAATCCTTTTGTTGCACTGAAATTAGAAATCATTGACTTCAAAAATATTAATATATCGAGATTTTAAAAAATCGTTTATTATCATTTTGCTTCCCGCGAGTAAGCATTCTTTAAAGTTTTAATTTTGGGCTTATATTTTCTTATGATATATTATTAAAACAAAATATTCATGTTATTGATGTACATACAAGTCTAAGGGAGAAACATAATATCACATATGTACAATGACACACGCAATTATGTAATTATATGTAAAACATAGAAAAACTCGAAAAAAATATAAATGTCCGATATATTTTATAGGACATCTACGCACTCAACAAAGATAAGTTAATAAATAAGATCAATGATTAAAAGTGTCTATTATTAAAAATACACGTACTTTCAATGATACATATTATATAATATTTTATAATAAACTCGAACTATATTTCTAAATCATTCTATTTGAAGTTCTTACAGAATCTGTAATACTAAACTTCTACAATATGACAATATAACGATGAATAAAGTTCGAAGTTTCTTTGCGTACAATTTAGAACTTTATCAAGTGTACATCGAAACTTTTTGATGACGTAAGTCAAGTAAGAGCGTGGTCGGCCTTACTCAAAGCTAATAAAAGATATCGCCCTAAATCTATCATGAATCCATAGAGGGCACCTTTATCCTTGATGCAATATCAAGGAAGATTCAGTTGTCATTGAACTTTGTTAAGAGAATCACATTAAGCGCCATGAGTACCAAATACGCATCATGCTATGAAGCGTGTTCCTCACGTTGTGTTTCTCTGCACTCACCCGAAAGGTCCAAAAATGTCAGCCGTCAACAATTAGCTGCTAAATATATGAAAGTCGAAATCATTCGTACGGAAGTGAGTGCAGCGATATAATGTGGCAAAAAATGTCGATTATTTACCAGAACGTGGCTCGATATGCAAAGTGGACAAAAAAAGACGATAAAAAAATAGTGAATCTGTTTTTGCGGAATCCTGGCTTAACACTGCATCAAGGACAAGCAAAATTGAAGCAGAAAGGTTTAGATATATCGTATGAAACTATTCGAACCTATTTCAAGGCTAATAATATGAACTCGACCACGCTCTTACTTGACTTACTGTATATAATAAGTATAAGATCTATGATAATAAGATATACTTTTCCTTGGTTTTGTTAGTTAAATAATTAGTAAATTAGATTTCTTTATACTTTAATAATTTTGAATTATAATCTTCTTATAAGAATTGAACTGAATTGAGTTATGTAATATGTTTAAAACGTCCACACATTCAAATATATGCGTGTGTATGATTAAAAATTTTTAATTTTTATATATTTCTACACATTGCGTAGAAGTAACGTTTTTTTAAGTAATTAAATCTTCTATGGTATATTTAAATTATATTTCGAACAATATATAGCTACGTGATTAAAAAATATGCAAGATATATACTTTATAGCATAAATTAACATATCTTGAATGTAAGATTTCATAAATAAAATGGACGATTATGTAAAAAATTGTCGTAACAAATATATACATATAATTTTTTATACTATATATTTTTCTTATGTTTATTATTATAATTTCAATATTTAAAAGTATTAATTTTTATTTTTATCAAAATTATATATTTGTTCTTTTTTGCAATAAGGAAAGCATAACATAACTGCATATAATCGAATAAAAAAGAACATATCTAGTAATTACAGTGAATTTATTTCACTGTTGTGTGACACGCAACATTTTCTTTCCATAACGGTACGTAAATTCACGGCGAACAATTATTGATTAGACATGTAACCCTTTCAAAGCAGTTGTAATAGCAAGCTATTTATCAAACATTTTTTTCAAATTTTATTTAAACTCTAGCACAATGTACTATACTTGTGAGAGCATACTGTGAGCTTTCATAAAGTGATCATACTGAAAAAAGGCTGATAATGGATGCTTTCTATTTGGTGACACAAATCGACACAATCATCGTTCTACTTTTCTTTTTATTGCATGAATAACAAAGACAGGACGGTGCTTGTGTAGCAGCAAGCGTTAGATTAGTTTAACGTCATGTACAGTTTGGAATCGGATACACTGATTCTTTTTTTTCGTATAATTACTGATAAGGAAAGAGACCCAACTGTCCCTCTCCGATTTTAATGAGTTTTTAGTAGTTAATAAATTTTTCATTCTAAAAAATTTTTTCTATTTCTTACAATTCCGGCGATATTGGCTTCGAAAGAAATCAATTTTTTTCTAAGAGATATTTCACCTCCTGAATGTGCGTATGGGAGCATGTATAAAAAAATACGTGTCGCTTATTTTTGTTTGGAAAATAATAATAAAGATTCATGCAGTTTTTGTATATTGGGAAGTTGTGAGTATATTGCCATATAAGGAAAGAATGGAAATGTAGTCAAAAAATTAATACGTAAAGCATTACGCGTAAAGTCTTGCTTATTGAATTTAAGTTTAACTGGATATTATGATATTTAATATGCTCAAAATCATGAATAATAATAAGTATATTATTAACAAAGTACAATATAATATTTTGTTGATGATAATATTCATAGTAGAAGATAATATACTTATTTTTTGTACTAAAAAAATAATTTTAATATTACAAAATTAAAATTAAAAAATTAAAATTAAAAGTATTTTTAATTTCTATATTTGAGTATTCTAAATTAGTGCTTCTTTTCGCTTCTTCCGCAAATTTTGATTATAATTCTGTTACAATTTTAATTATTTTCTTTTAATCAAAACTGTACAGAATCCAAATCTGTAAAAAAAATAATTTTAATAAGAATTTTTCAAGTTATATAAAAAAATTAATAAGAGCTTACAAAAAAATGTGAAAAAAAATTTATGCATAAAAATTTTACTCTAAACCTTGTATGTTTACAGCAAAATCTCTTGTTTCAAATACAGAATCTGTATCAAACTTCCACAATATACTTATAAATAAAAGTTCGAAATATTTCTATATACAATGTAGAACTTCATAACCGTATATATAATCGTACGTATCAACTATATAAATGTTAATCATGGTTTAGATGCGATTAAAATTATCGCTTGGTATTTGTCCAAAAGAGATCTGTAGCTGTCGAAAAGATTAATAAAATTAATTATTTTATGATTACATTCACATTCAAACTTAATACATACTTTGTATCAAAAGTTAACAAATAAAATTAATTGTAATGTTAGAATGGCACAGAGTTATTGTACATCAAATTATCCAAAATTTTAAGTAAAATATTTTTCTAATTTTTATATATCCACACTGAAAAAAATTTGTGGTTGAAAATGGACAAATCAGAATTTTCTGATTAAAACCGAGAGCACATGTACATGGATTCGTGCTTGTGTGTGTAGCTACTAATTTCGCCAGGCCGCCGACTAATTTTGAATCGCATATTGACTACTCAGGAGCCTTAAGTATACTGCGCGCCAATCGAGGTAGATAAATTCGAATAGACCGGGTACAGTCGGCGGTCTCTCAAGAGTCTCCTCAAGAAATGTTGCTATCTCATTTCAGCGAGCATTCGACTCACTCGCACGCAGCGGTTCTCTCCGAAATCGTGCTCGAACGTTCGCACCCTACTACCTTATTTATAACAAAACTACTATATTATTTATGTACACATATATATATACCCGTTTCAGTTTTATATCAAAATTGGAAAATATTATGCTTAAAGTCACTCTTATGGAATTAGTGGGAAGCACGATAGTAATATGCACGCTTGGATATTACATTATTGTGGGACGCAATAGATGTGAGAAGATTTTATTACAATTTTATTACACACAAATAAATGTCACTTATTTATAAAGAGTGACACATCGTTATTTTATTACAAAATGTGTATTAAAAATGATAAATTATACAATAAAAATGAGCTCATATTTTAAGGGTACACAGTACAATTTTGTATTTGTGAAATCAGTCGCTGACAAAATATTAAATTGTTCACATATTCATATGTTAATTTAACAAAATGTTAGTTTTCAAATGTACAGTCCAATAAGACTCGTATTGTTTAATTCAACAAAATGTCATTATGCTGTTTTAACATTTCATACTGAAACTAATATTCAATTATCATTAACATGGAAACACAATTTATAAAACAGATTACATAGACCTTACAAAAAAAAAGTACCCTATGCTGTGTTGGACACCCAGCTATTCTTATGTATTTGAGTTGCTGAATACGAATCTGACATTAAAATAAAACCATCCAGGGTAAATTTTCAATCTAGAGCGAAAAATTGAGTCAAAATGAGAAAAAATAGGTCATTTTTTCGCTCTAAATTGACAATTTATCCTTAATGATCCTATTTTAATGTCAAATTGCGACATGTACATATCAATTTATATACATATAACATAGAAGGGACTATAATATAGATAAGTTTTTGGCTAGTAAGTTAGTGGCTATCTGTTTGAAAGTTCTCGTAAAATATCAAGGTATGAATCATGTAATAATTTAGTGTCATTTTTACAGTTTATACCATTTTTTTGTTGTTTTATATAAATCATTTCGATGAGTCTTTTGTTATAATTATGTTAGACTTTGAACATATTTTACAAAATCTGTTACGACTATCCACAATCTGGATGAATAAAAATTACCACTGTAACATTACAATATATTAATTTATTAATTATTTGTTTATTGTTCATAAAATTATTCAAAATTTTAAACAATATATTTTTCTGATTTCCATATATCCATTTATAATATTTTCATTTCATAACATGTAACTTTTATCATCACTTATAAATAATAAAACTCTACTCACATATATTCTCACTTAATTCAGATGCAAAATAAACGTCATTAAAATACAATATATTTTTAAATAAAAAAGTCTGTTATGTTGAAGCACTTTTACGAATCTTTCCTTATAATGTTCATGACACGCAATATTCACTCAGACTTCAAGCAATAGAAATTCAACGAGCAAATATATCGATTAAATATACGCCCCTT